AAGTTGATTCATTTAATGCTCACAAAACTTGCTGCATTCTCTTTGCTCGAAGTACTGGATGATGAAGTAGCTCTTGGGATCATAAAATCATACGTTTCGATGGACAATCCCTACAAAACCTTCGTTCTGCGGACGACATCGTCATCTTTTCCAAAAGTGCAAGCGAAGTAGTTGCGATGTAAAATGAACTCAACAAAGAGGAAAAAGAGCGGGCTGCGCGCAAACGAGTTGAAGACAGAGTTAATAGAGAATGCTTGAAGCGAAGGTGAGCATGTTGAACCGGATGTATTTCTCATAAATGTTACCGAGCGAACTTGTCATCTCGTCTGTTAATGGACTCTTGTACAGTTCGATAGTCGCGTTTCGACCTTGACAGTCTCGTCAGTCGGGCAGAACCCCTCGTCTTCTAGCCAGTCCTTTCGGTATACTCCAGTCTCCGGACTAAGAGTTGGCGACGGAGAACAATTTACACTACACTACCGTCAAATGAAAATCATCAAATCGGCAATGCTGTGGATTCGATTGCTTTTGGCTGGTTTTGAAATATATTACACCGTTCGTTTCGAGTTTTCTTGAAATCACTCTCAAATTTTAATATTTCTCATAATTGCTACCTGAGCCAACTTGTCGTGTGGTCTGGTAATGGGCTCTTGTAAGGCCCGATTAGGGTAAATCGTTCGTCGTCTCCTACTCTTAGTGTGGAGACTGGAGCACGCCGAGAAGATTGTAAAGGACGGAGTTTTCTGTTTGACTGACAAGAGTCAAGGCCGAGTCATGTGTATTGGGCTGTGCAAAAGCCCATCAACAGGCCACAAGACAAGTTGGCTCAGATAACAATTATGAGAAATAGTGGAATTTGAGCGTGGTCTTGAGAAAACAACCTCGAAATGAACAGTAGTGATCCGGATGGTTCTCCATTTGAGAAATCACCCCGTACATATATCCTGGACGTTCAAGGAATATGGAGAATAACAAGAAGGGGGAGTTAGACAGAAGGAGGACAGCACGACCAGCATTTAGGCCTCTCAAGAAGCCATCGAAACGCCAAGCTAAGTGCTCACATTTTTGATACAACAGTCCTTCCAACCATTTATTATGCAGAAGAAAAGTGAAATGATGTCAAACCACTTAAGAAGTGTGCATGCCACCCAAAGGGTGCTCAAACGAAGTTCTCTGGAAGTCACTCAGCACTCATGTCTTTACCCAGCTCACATCTCCGAATACATTTCATTTTCATGTGCCAGAAATATTTCCTTTGTTAGCAAAGCAAAGATGGGCCGGTTACATAATAAGTAGGGCAGATGACAGTTGCACAAAAAGAGTACTGGAGTGCATTCCAAGAGAATGCGAACGCCCTCTTGGAAGATCATCCAAACGATGAGCGGAGTGTATGTGGCTAACGTAAACCATCCGCATCTGCAGATGATAACGAGCTTGAAATCATCGAGGGAGCATCGCCTGTGTCATCAAACCCGAAGCAGATCACCACCATGGACATTTGCGTGAGAAAGAAACGAATGGAAACTATGTTGCGGCTCGCACTAAAGTGAACATGGGGCGTCCAGTAATCCAGGTACCAAGTTTGTGAAGTACTCCTACCAAGGCTATTGTTATTTCTTCGCCAACGATTGATCGTGAAAAAATTTGCTAATATACATACTGTTCACAGGATTAGAAGTCTTTAAATATCCGACTCATAAAACACAAAGTTTCCAAGCACCTACTGGGTCATCTGTAGCACCTGTCGTCCTGTTAATCGTCGAGTGACTCGTGCGGGCACCAACGACAATTCCATTTGTCCCTATCGCGTGCAAGAGTAGCCCAGTGGGCCCTCCTCGCTCTTAGGATTCAGTGAGCATCAAATCTTCCTTCTAGGGTTGCCGTTAAGAAATCGCACCGTCGGGTCGGTGGTCTTCATGTGATGCGCTTGACATCCCGAGGAATGCAGTCGGTAAAGGCTCTTGTCCATCGATTGTCTTTAAAGTGCATCACGTGGCCGGCCCACCTCATTTTCGATATCCTGGCGTGTAGAGCAGCGTCTTTTATCTTCGATCGTTGACGTAGGTTGACTTTGTCCTCTTCATTACATCTCCGATGCTTTTAAACGTTCCCCAAGCCGCTCGCTTTCTCCTGCTCAACTCTGGGGTTAGGTCGATCATCATGTTGATTTCACGACTTAGATGAACGTAACAGAGCATTCTGAAATCTTGGTTATGTTGAGCGTAAATAGGACATTCGAAGCCCATCCGTTTCCCACGAACATGTTTTTATCATAATTAGTTGAACCAATCTTTTCACAGGTGGTGTCGAAATAGCTCAACATTCGTTCCGCTAGGCTCATGGCTTGGGTTATGAGGGCGATATCATCAGCGAGGCGAAGTTGGTTCAATTGTCAACCGTCTATTTTCTGTGGAAAAAGGAATCTGCTGGATACATTTGAAAATTCTATTGTTAGTATAATTTTCCACATGAATGGCTTCTGTTTGCTTACATCATTTTAGTGCTTCACAAGAAAAACTGATGAACCAGCCAGCATTTCAGTGAAAGCAAACAAGTAGCCCAGCATTGTACGACTACAAGAGGTGAGCATGAGAATGTTTATCTCTCCAAATCAAAACGTCCTTTTTTACTATATGCTCTTGCCCAACCAGATAGATTAGCTTAGTCTTCGATGGACCATGGAAGCACGTAGTGTACGCTCAGCAGTTTGGGTTCACACCAATCACTTTGTACTGCGGAGTCTCTCTTACAACCTCGCTAAAATCGTCATTGCGTCAAGAAAGTTCATTGCAAACTACAAACATGCCGGTCAAAAATCATCGCCGTTTGATTGTCAATTTCAGGAAGTCATGCGCGTAAGAAAGGTGGCTCACTAAAGAGAGGACCTTTGCAACCACGAAAGCACTAAAATGAGTTCACAGCTCTCTACGATCAAAAAAATATTACACTCAATAATTAGTATCCGCTTTATGATAATATTCATACTGTCAATAATAACCATAAATATACAGTCTGTTTTGAAGACTTTCACTCACTCTTGTCAATGCGTGGCCCGGTTTTTTGGTTCTTCATCGCTTTTGGTCTCGGTTCACTCCTTCTGAAACGAGCTGAATAGAAGTTGTAAAAGCAGTTCAACCATGAGCGAGAAGCATAGTTTATTCAGTGAACTTTAACGATTATTTTCTGGACTTCCGTCTGCATGATTTTTACAGCGAACAATATTCCCTCATATAGAAGCCGCGGAAGAGGCAAAGCCAAAGAACAATTCAGCATTTCAGCTAAATTTCCCGACAAAAAAGCACAGGTAATCTTTATCATTATCTTCTATAAATGGTGGAATACTTAGAAAATACTATGACAAAAACCGTTCACTACGATCAAACAGTCGTAATTTGAAGGTTTATTTATCTCATATACATTTTCAGAAAGATTACGAGAGTAATTTGGATTCGATTTCGCACAAAAACGCACTCTTCCCAAAAACTGTACGTTTTATGATCCTCGGTATAAGAGTACATTTTTCACCCAACAGGCATAATTCATAAAGATACATTTTTTTTTCAGCCCACAATGAGAAACGAGGAAAGGAATGTGAAGGAAAATCGAGCATAGTGTATCAAGCGCTGGTAAGAAGATAAAAACGAATCTTTCATTTTATGTGCGTGACATGTGCTTATTTCATGAAATATTGACTTTAGCATTACTTTTACTCTTCAGGGTTTGCGTTTATTCTGCACAGTAGCTTTACGTGATATCGTTGTTTTACTTCCATCATATGAATAAAGCGGCGCAGCTGTGGACAACATTTTCCTACATACGACGGATGTTGTCTACCTCTTCCCATGTGTAAATCATTGACTCGTAATCTCTAGTCGCGTAGTCTCATATTTCCGCCTTAGTTAGTCTTTGTTTGCGCCACGAAAGACGTGTGAGGTTTTGATGCATTTTAGATACTATCTATTTTAATTGCTCAGACACTCTCATGACTGTCACAAGCCGAACGACCCTCCTTTCCATTTATGGATCTGTCGCGTAATTGAGCCCCTATTTTGGTGAATGTATTTTCACGTGATCAACTGATTGTTGTGTATTCTGCACTCACGATGTGAATTCTTCATCTTTAGCTTTATTTTTGTTCCACTCTAATCACAAACCCACTCCATAACGAAATGAATATAAGCAGCCGGAAGTTACATATAGGCTCTTTTCCTCTTGGTTACTCACTGAACTGTTAATGCCTTGTCTACGCCATCTGTAATTCTACACTATTGCTGGTGTTGTAGTGTTGCTGTAGAAATAAACGATAATCCATACGAAGAGTTCGACACAGAAGCAACTAATAAAAGTCCCACGTGGTCAAATGAACTCAGACAACACGAAATCTCCACTAAGTTCGTCTGCTACAACTGGTGCATCGGCCTCTTGAATCGAACCCATCGTTTTGAAACCATGGTGCATTAACACATCACCGAGAGTACGCTGATAACTAGGAAGGGAAGGACGAGAAGTAAAATAAATTGTTTTGAGTTCAAGATTCATGCAAACGTTCAAAACGGCCAACTTTTTTTGCGGTGAGCGAATCGAAATAAGGTAAGATCAACGAGTATATTGTTGATGGTTTAGCAAAAATGTTATCTGTTTTCATAACCTATCCTCCCTATCAAAATCATCTCACGGTCAATGAAAATGTGCTATCTAAGATATTCTCTTCCTAATCGAGTATCTCAAAATCGTAAAGTATCTGCGAGCGTATTTCCTCCTTTTTCTGTTAGATCATTGGATACTCCGATACAAGTTAATTCGGCTATCGGACTGCTTAGAAGGAGTTGGTAATTTGTGCACACGAGCATCCAGTGGCAGTAGTAGCGTGTAACGGAAACACTTGATGAATTCGTTAGCGCCGATGGGAGTAGTATCATGATTGGAGATTTTGCACCTTATGCAGGCAACGGAAAATTGAAAATATCACGGAAAATAATGTAGAGCGCTGGGAAAACATTTTCGTAAGCCGTGATTCTAACCCAGATCCCACTCTCTCCGGGAGCGTATGCTAACCGTTGCACCACCAACGCTACCGGTAAGAGTGAGATCTGGGCTTGAATCCCTGCTGACGCAAATGTATATGCACAGCACTGTACATTATTGGATATATTATAAGACCATACTACCGCAAGAGGCGGTCAAGTAAATGAAATCCAATTGAATATCACGGAAAAGATCTGATCTACAGCTTTATGCTAGGCATGGAACGCCAACGTAGTCTTTCTTACTGACTTAACAGCGCCCCAGATTCAGGCAGTTGCTCTCTATTCGTCAATCTGCATTTCTTTTTCTCAGGCTTGTTGTAGAAGATTCCTTTATTCTATAACGGTGCGTGACAGTAACAGCATGAACATTAGTTCTACAGCCCTTTCTGAAGAGGTAAGATTCTGGCATGATACAGTTGTAATTAAGCTCGCAGTTGCGAATTTTGCCACATTAATGGTGTAAAAGCGCTTTGGATGGTGCTGCAGCTGGGAATGCCAAACTCATTTAGCCATAATCATCACTCAGATGCATCCAGTCGTCATTGTTGACGGTGAAGTCTTGAACTGTTCCTAAGTGACTTTATTATCGATTTAAGTTGGTCGTAGCTAATTTTTTCATTGTAATGTAAACAGAAGGATACACGTTGGAAGATTATAGATTTTCCTCAATATATCCGCATTGCTCCATTTGTAATCAATGTTCAACTGCTGCTCTCGTAACCCTGATGATGTAATCGTTCAGTATCACCTGTCGTCCCGTTGATCGTCGAGTGACTCGAGCGGGTACCAGCAACTCTTCCATTTTTCCCTATCGCGTGCAAGAGTAGCCCAGTGGGTCCTCCTTGCTCTAGGAATTCGCTGAGCATCATATCTTTCTTCCATCGCTTTCGTGAAGAAATCGGACCAACGGGTCAGTGGTCTTCCTTTAGAGCGCTTGACGTCCCGAGGAATCCAGTCGGTAACGGCTCTCGTCCATCGGTTGTCGTTGAAGCGCATCACGTGTCCGGCCCACCTTATTTTCGATATCCTGGCGTGTAGAACGGCGTCTCTGATTTTCGATCGTTGACGTAGGTCGGAAGTTCGGATCCTTTGTCTCATTTGCGAAATACGAGATACTCCTAGCATCGACCTTTCGACTGCGCGTTCGATAACGGCAAGTGATCTTTCATCCTGCTTACGTAGCGACCAGGTTTCTGCTGCATACGTTAGGGCAGGGATAATTGTCGAGTCGAAAAGGTGGGCACGGAGTCGGATGTTCTTTGTCCTCTTCACTACATCTTCGATGCTCTTAAACGTTCCCCAAGCCGCTCGTTTCCTCCTGCTCAACTCTGGGGCTAGGTCGTTCATCATGTTGATTTCACGACCTAGATAGATGTAACTGGAGCATTCGGAAATTGTCGTTCCGTTGAGCGTGAATGGGGCATTAGAAACCCATCCGTTCCTCATGAACATTGTTTTCGTTAGATTCAGTTGAAGACCGATCTTTCCACAGGCGTTATCGAAATCAGTCAACATTTGTTCCGCTTGGCTGATGTTTGGTGTTATGAGAACGATATCGTCAGCAAAGCGAAGATGGTTTAATTGTCGACCGTCAATTTTCACTCCCATTTCGTCCCATTCTAATGTTCGCATGACGTTTTGTAGGGTGGCAGTGAATAGTTTTGGCGATATTGTATCGCCTTGTCGAACCCCTCTTCTTACGTCAATGGTGATATTGTTGTAGAATGGAGATATTCTGGTCGTGAAATCTTCATAAAGCTCACGAAGGATCATTATGTACCGAGTAGGGACGCCCTGGTTATCCAGAGCCTCTCTAGAGGCTCTGGATGTAATCGTTATATTCCATAAAATCCTTCAATCTTCACCTCTACACACCGGCTAATTTCTGTACTTCAGCGAGCAACAAATATTAGTTTCGAAGAAAGTTCTGGGACACTTGTAAGAAACTGAAAATTCATGTGTGAAATTTTATAAGAAACAATGATAACTAGTCTTCAAAATAAGCTTGACCTTTCTAAGCCCACTGCTTTTCTCGATTATGGTTGACCAGTTATACTCAGTTCTCGTCCGAAGTCACAATGCGTTTCCAAAATCGGTCACTTCGTGCGATTATTGAGATGTTAGCAAAAATTCTCTACTCTTCTAGGCATGAGCTTTAGTGAGTTCGTGAAGATCCTGTCATGGCTTTTAGTGGACGAAGTTGAGCTGGTGGATATGATACAGAATATACCCAGTTAGCTAGAGTGATGTGCAAGAACGTCTGCGTCAGTCGGGATTTGAACCCGAGGGCCTCGGGCTGTACAAGAGCCCTTACCAGACCACATGACATGTTGGCTCAAATAATAATGAAAGGATCTATTACTGACACATTTAGTGCACCCTCAAAATATACATCATTCCTAGTCGCGCGCATATTACCATGACATTAGTTTTGTAAGTGAATTTTTTTTTTCAAATGAAGGCGATACTGGTGCGTATACTTCTGTCATCCTCTGTTACTTTCTATACAATTCCTATTTTCTAGAAATCTTTTCTCCTCAAAACAGCCGTACCCCCTCCACTTCCTGAATGAAGGACCAGGCGTTCCTTGAAGATGTAGAATAAGGGAAACACACTACAGTGGCAACTTCTAGTCACAACCATAGAGAGAAGCAGTTTTGAAAAGGATTCAGCATGAGAATCATTTTCATCACTTGTATCACCTGTCGTCCCGTTGATCGTAGAGTGACTCGAGCGGGTACCAGCAACGCTACCACGTTTCTCTATCGCGTGCAAGAGTAGCCCAGTGGGTCCTCGCGGCTCTAGGGATTCGCTGAGCATCATATTTTTCTTCTATACCTTTCGTGAAGAAATCGCACCAACGGATCGGTGGTCTTCCTTTAAAGCGCTTGACGTCCCGAGGAATCCAGTCGGTAACGGCTCCCGTCCATCGGTTGTCGTTGAAGCGCATCACGTGTCCGGCCCCACCTTATTTCCGATATCTTGGTGTGTAGAACGGTGTCTCTGATTTTCGATCGTTCACGTAGGTCGTAATTCGGATCTTTTCTCTCATTTGCGAGAAACGGGGTACTCCTAGCATCGACCTTTCGGCTGCGCGTTCAATAACGCCAAGTGAATTTTCCTCCTGCTTGCGTAGCGACCACGTTTCTGCTGCATATTTAATTGGCACGGATATTTGTCGAGTCCAAAAGGTGGGCACGGAGTCGGTTGTCGTTTGTCCTATTCACTACGTACTCGATGCTCTTGAACGTTCCCCAAGCCGCTCGTTTCCTCCTGCTCAACTCTGGAGCTAGGTCGTACATCATGTTGATTTCACGACCTAGATAGACGTAACTGGAGCATTCGCAGATGTTCGCTCCGTTGAGCGTGAATGGGGCATTCAAGACCCATCCGTTTCTCATGAACATCGTTTTCTTCAAAATTCGTTGAAGACATATCTTTTTACAGACGTTGTCGAAATCGGTCAACATTCGTTCCGCTTGGCTGAAGATTGGTGTTATGAGGACGATGTCATCAGCAAAGCGAAGATGGTTTGATTGCCGACCGTCAATTTTCACTCCCATATCGTCCCATTCTAATATTCGCATGACATTTTGGAGGGTGGCAGTAATAATTTTGGCGAAACTATATCGCCTTGTCGAACCCATCTTCTTATGTCTCCCACGGATCTCCCTCTCCGTCTTTGAGAAATCCCGCCCGGTTAGTCGCGAGGGCACGTGGCGCGCCCTCAGGTGGTGTATAGGGGAATGAACGCGAACCAAAAGCGACCGTGTGTTTCCCAGAGACGCAGATGAATTCAGGGGATGAGCTCCCTGCTTCTGTGGCGCCGACTTGACAAACTCTATTTTTACGAGTCAAGTTGGCCAAAAGACTGCAATCAAGCCGCTGGGAAGTACATAGGAGGCGGTTAGGAGTCCCCTTTAACAATAAGCTCCCCCGCTCCTCCGAGAGACTGGCAAGCTACTCGTGAGTACCCAGCCCCACGTTTAGAGCCTCGCAAGCTATACGTTGGAGATCAAAATGCCACAAGCAGTAACGTAAGAATCATTTTCATATCGCAATAAAATTTGAAGAAATAGGGTAAAATTCGCTTTTTAAGGCTTCTAACGGCAAAAGAAAGAGGCTCTTTGACACAATAATGACCACGGAAGCTGTGGAAAGCTTATAATTCTCGTTCAGTGCACATTTTGCTTTTACCAGCTTCGTAAATTATTGGACGACACGAGCAGACGGCAATGAATGCTTTCTTTACACTTCTCACGTGTTTTGTTTCAATGATTATTCTTTTGATTTATTGTAGGCATTGGACTTTGACTAAGGAAAAGTCCACGTATGTAATGGATACTCGATTCAGTTCATTTGGTCCCAACGGAGAAAAGGCAGCTGTAATCCCATACAAAGCTAGATGTGACTGCGAAAGCATCTAAAGTAGTGCCCATACTACCGAAATGAGATCTCTCTCATAGCGCGCATAGGTGGGACCTCTGCAGAGTTAGTTACAAAAGCACGTCAAGCTTTTACAAAAAAGTGGATAGGCCAATAAAACGGACGATAAACGACCATACATTCAAACTGAGAAGCAAACAAATTCAATAGACATGTCGCACAAAAATTGCTTGAATTGTATTGCTACTTAATAAAGATATCAATTGATTAACAGTGTAATCACCATGACGACCAATGAAAATGTGCTGAGCAAAAAAGTAGTGGCCTTCCAGCAACAAATAATGAGCCCGACGATCAGAGAAATCGACAAGGTCACTTCCGTAAGGTTAGTCTTTGGATCTTTTTTTTCTCCCGCAGATGCTCCTTTAGAGCGCAGAGCTGATAGTCCGATGGAGCACGATCAGGGCCAATCGGTGAATGCGCTACCACGGTACAGCCCAGTTTGTCCAAAATTGTAGAGAGCCGGTTTCGCAATGCAATGTGGTCGGTCAATACAGGAAGTGTCCGCTGAGACACCACTTTGCGGTAACCCATTTCATTTAGATAGCAAGCGCTAGTATTCAAATTCCCGGTTAGAACAACTACAACATTCTCCGCGA